GCAGAAGGTTTCAACTCATAAGGACTTAAACTAAACTTCCAATGCTCTGACACTACAGAGCCGAATATAGTAGATATCAAGCTCTGGAAAGAGAGATTCAATTATTTATCACCTTGACCAAAAACGAAAAGGTTTCTGCAAAAACGCCAAACGTATTTCGATGAAACGATAAATGGTGTATGTGCTTAATTGAGAAGCATTAAAAAAAAAAAGAGAACATGTCAAAGTTGTGACTGCTGAATATATTTTATAATTTCAATGCATTCCTCCCGTCCATCAGAATAAAATATGTACTGTTCTGTCCTCTCGCAGTGTCATTAATGTAATTTAATCGCACATGACTGACTAAATTAAGTTTGTTGTACCATTGTCGCCTTATGTTATAATTGTTTTCGAATGTCAGAATTTTGTGTTGCAGGAGTTAACAGAAGAGTTTGTGTTGAGATTTCCAGTAAAGGTTATTCATGACACCCCTATAGATTGCCTCATTCGTGTCAGAGTGAATGCTGTTCATTGCCAAAACGGCTGTTCATCAAAGTGTCATCGGATGAATAAACACAAATACAGAGCTTCACGTTTTGATCTCACATTTGTTGACGGTTCACTTTTGGGGGAGGTCCTTGAAATGTTATTCCACTGCACAAACAGCAAGTTGTATGTTTTTTTTTTTTGTTGTTGTTGTTTTTTTTAATGCCAACATCTTTCTTTACTTGTTTTAGACATCTCAAGGCACATCTTCACAAACAAAATCTTGACACACACTCAGTGACATCCTCAACATGATCAAAGTCTAACATGTCGTTTGTTGATCGCTAAGCAATGCGTGGAAAACGTGCTATTGACAAGGATGTGATTGTGTGTCTTTTTGGGAGCAATTGAGCCGTGAGCTTCCTGCTTTTAGCTATCCAGCTGAAAAGCCCGTCCCACAGGGATGGCTTACTCAGCTTTGACACAAACACGGACACTTCCGTGTGATATCCGTGCAAGAAAGTGGATGAAAGATCACTCTTAAATGCACACACAATCACAGAGGGAGGTGTCTGACAGAGATGTCTTGAATGACAGCGTCTCCTGTTCCACTCTATTCTTATCTCTGCACTGTTAAGCACACACCATATAGCTCTGGTGACGTTTCACCTCATTTCGGTGGCAAGAGACTTCAAGCATGCATTATCTTTGTCACATGTTTCATGTTCCTTCCATTGCAGAACTTGCTTGACATCTCACTCGAAGAATGTACTGTAGGCTAAATCGTGAACTGTCCTCATGGAGGACTTGTTTGATAACAATAAGCCATATGCATCCATGTCCGCGGTTCGTAAAATTTCTATGCATGTTATGAGAGTGTTTTGGTCTGGCTGTGGAGCTGCAGAGCTCCTGTAAAGTAACCCATCCCCCCCCAGCTGAGACATTTTTGCGTTGCACTTTCTGTGTTGGACTACATGACACCAGCTTCCCCTCCCCCTGCCAAGAAAGTCTTCAGAGATGGTCCCTTGGGTGGGTGTCGGTGCTGAAAGCAGGCCTTTGGCCCTGTCCATGGGATGTTATTGATGAAGTGAGGTAATGGATGTACCCGCTGTGCTCCCAGGGACACAGAGGATAAATCAGAGTGGGTAAGACTCAACCAGCCATCCCACCTCGCTCTAGACTCAAATGCCATTTCATTAGCTTTATTTATGGGGGGTTTGCACTCTTCTGAACCCCTCCCTTTGTGACCTCCCCCTTAAAATGTCACTATTCTTCGGTTTCCTCCCGTGCATAGTGTTATCACAACCCGTATGCATTCTTCCCCATTCCCAGAATTCCCAGTCTTAAGCCTGTCTCACACCTGAGAGCCTCCGGTGATGCGGTGGACAAAGACCTTGACTAGACTGATTATCTCTGAAGGTGTGAAACACATTGGACCCTATTTTTGTGCCCACTGCAAGTCAAGCGCAAAGTGCAGTCGGACTCTATGGAAGGAGGTTTTTTTCTTTGGGCATTTTTGTAGACGGGCGCAGGTAGAAATGGCCGTTTGCGCCGTTGTGGGACTAAACACAGCCAGCTTGATTCCCGGCCAATCGAAACGGCTTTAAATTTAGCTCAGGTGAAGTGCGTGGTCTCCATTGCGGAAGCATAAAGTACTCGCTGCATCCATGCAGGAGAGCGGCGTGCGCAAAGTACATATAAGGAGCTGCAAGAGATCTCCACTGTAAAATAGGCTGCTGCCAAGTGGGCACTCGGAAACCAAACTGCCTCCAACCTCAATTGTGCACCTATGTGAGCCCCAGCACGAAAATGAAGACATGCCAGTTTTTACAACGCACGCCTGACTACGAAAACATAGTGCTGCCTCGGCATCTGGCTTATTTGCAGCGCTGCAGGTCCACCAAGCACAGCATTTCTTGCACAGCCATATTTGTGCTGGGTGAGCAAAGACAAGCCACCTCTGGACTTTTGCTCTCGGCAGCGGGCCTGAAATTACAGCCAAAACCACTTCACCTGTGGCGGAAAGAGAAAGGAATTTGTCTTTCTTTGAGAGGAAGATTAAGTGAACTTTTGTATCACTTGAGATCAAATATCACTGCTGTCAATTGTACATAGAGTGTCTCTGTCCGTGGACATTTTCCATTCGCCTGGAACAAGGTGAATACGTATCACATCACACGTGTGAGAAACATAGAGTCAAATGACACCTCGGATGGTAAACATTTGTATTATTCTGAGAAGTCTCACTTCCATGAATTATGTTGATGTATGCCTTGTCATGTCCCTGCATTTTATTTTTTCAGGACACAGGCAGTGAATCATCCTCTCGGGGCATGTTTTCCCCATTAGAGAAAAAGGCAGTAATGTGTTCTTTTGTGTGTGTGTGTGTGTGTGTGTGTGTGTGTGTGTGTGTGTGTGTGTGTGTGTGTGTGTGTGTGTGTGTGTGTGTGTGTGTGTGTTCCCCAATGACGAACATGGATGTCATGACAATCTGGCTGAAACACATCCAAACAAGGTCCATGAACCATGCAAGTGAACAGATGGTCAACTGCGCGCGAGTGATGCTTTGATGCTGCCAGTTTCATCACAGGGGCTCACTTGGATGTTGTGAATGTGTCTGTCATGTCCACGGCATCCACTGACGCGAATCTGGGAATGTGGCGAGAAAGCCATGGTGGCGGGGCTATTTTCAAATTGAAAATTCCTTATTTCTTGTACTTATTGAATGACTGTGCTATATATGACCCGAACATTGCTCTGCTCTGTGTGGATGTTGAGAAAGGCTATCACTGTGTTTGTGCTATATTAGGGCTACATTAGGGCCACAGCATTATTGCAGTAATGACTTTTCTGCCCTCTGATCTTGTTGCCGAAAGGGGGAGTTTGCAGTTGCAAAACTGCGAGCAAGATATGAATATCGCCACACTTCAACAAATCCTGCCTCAACTCGAGTTTCTGACCAAAGCCACAAGCCTCACTAACGTGCAAGAGACATGCTTTGTGCATAACATGCACTTTGAGCAAATTGTTAGCCACGGCTGAAGGTTTTTTGTTTTTTTGGGGGGAGGGGGGTGTACAAATAATTCAAAATCAAAAGGAGGTGATAAACTTACCTGTCGAGCAGAAATGTTGCTAATTCAACATTTCTGATTTCTCTTAGTTGCCTGTGGCCCATACGCACCTGAAAGGCATCTCCTACTGTAAATTTAACCTTGCTCTCTCTCAAGATCTGTCACATTCCTTCTTTTTAACTTTTGTTGTGAAATAGAAGTGAATAATACGCTATAGTTTCAGCAAAGCTCCTCATGCCCAACGGGTAACTGCGTTAAAGCATGAGGCCGCAAGGGGTGTGCCCGCTGTACGTGTGCCCGGCGAGTGCACAAGAATGATTGACACATTGTAGCCACACCCTCCGTCTCTGACTAGTTGTTGTTCCTCGGGCGCGGTGGTTTCTTAAAAACCTAGTTTGAGGTCCAAGAGGGCGCTCATTTTTTTGCAGATAATTTCACTAATGTAGGACTGTGAGGTTGGACTGACAGTTTTGACGAAAATAATAGGTGAATAATATAAATGAATGGATTAATTCATTCATTCATTCAGTAATGAAAAGCAAACTTTCCCATTAAATCTCATGTCAGAATCAAATTATTGTCCTTTTGTGAGTTTGACTGAGAAATTATTCTGTCAAATGTAATCAAAACAAATGGAAGAAGAAGAGAAGGGAGTTTGCAAAATATTCTTGCCATACAATTGTGTTAGCCTAAATCCTTGCCTCTCCAAATTTTCACACTTACAATAAGATCAGTAATTATGCTGAATATTGAATTACACTGAAAATTGTTTGAAATGATCTACAACATCACATTACATGCACATTAAAAAAGACTCCAATAGTCACCGCTGATGAATAAGTACTGGGTTAGTGAATGATTAAAAACATAACTCTCCGATGTATTATGTTCTTAGCGTCTCAGCAACAAAAGATAGTCTGCATATGATTCCAATAAAAGGAAGGGGGGGGGGGGAAGTGACGGAAAAGCACACACTGGCTGCTAGCCAGGTGCAGACAGACTCAGGAAGTTAAGACGGAATTCCAGCAATGCAGGCCGTTGTTTGACTTTTCAGTGAGATCCCTCATTCACTGCTCTCAGAGCTGTCTTTTTTGAGGAAAGGTGGTCGTGAGATGAAGTCCAGTGTTTGTGAATGTATCGCGGCCCTGACTTTGCACAGGAAACCTTGACCCAATTGATATTACTTGCATCCCTCTCGCCGCATCTGATATGTAAACTAATCTTCTTGACTCAACGCTGCTTTTGACAGTAATAAATGCCAGTGTCGGGAGAGTGAGTTATATAGCAGCTAAATTATACAGTAGGGCCAGAGAACGGACTTGGCACATAATTAAACCTGTATTATAAATGATATATTGTTCCAGTTAGGCTCTAACACTTTCAATCTAACACCAAGATCCTAAACCGGATCAATTAGCTGTGCTATGAATGTACAAGATAAAAAATATGTAGATTTAGAATATGCTGGTCAAGGCAGCTGAACCAGAATGCAGAGGTCCCCTCAGCAAGTCTGGAGTGAGGCAACCTCCCATCAGAGCCTTCATGGATGACCTCACGGTGACAACAACAGCTGTACCAGGAGCCAGGTGGATCCTCCAGGGGTTGGAGCGCGTCATGGCGTGGGCACGCATGAGCTTCAAACCGGCAAAGTCCCGGTCCTTGGTTCTGAAGAAGGGGAAGGTCACAGACAGATTCCGCTTCAGCCTGGGAGTACATCAGATCCCATCAGTCACTGAGAAGCCAGTGAAGAGCCTTGGAAAGGTCTTCAACTGCAGTCTGAAGGATGCAGATTCCATCAAGGCAACCAGTGCTGACCTGGAGGGCTGGTTAAGGACAGTGGACAAGTCTGGGCTCCCTGGAAGATTCAAGGCCTGGGTCTACCAGCATGGGATCCTCCCAAGAATTCTCTGGCCTCTCCTCATCTATGAGGTCCCCATGACTGTGGTGGAAGGTTTTGAGCAGAAGGTGAGCAGCTATCTGCGAAGATGGCTGGGATTACCACGCAGCCTAAGTAGCATTGGGCTGTATGGGAACACCAACAAGCTCAGGCTCCCTTTCAGTTCAGTCAGAGAGGAGTTCATTGTGGCACGGGCACGGGAACACCTGCAGTACTCTGGATCCAGAGATGCCAAAGTGTCCGGGGCAGGGATCGTTGTGAGGACAGGGAGAAAGTGGAAGGCAGCCGATGAGGTCCAGCAAGCAGAGTCACGACTGAAGCACAGGGCCATCCTGGGAACAGTGGCGCAAGGCAGAGCCGGACTGGGGAGACAACCAGCAACCCGTTTTGACCGTGCCAGCGGAAGAGAGAGGCAGAGGTTGGTGCAGGAGGAGGTGCGAGCTTCAGTCGAGGAGGAGAGAACCAGCAGAGCAGTGGCCATGCGGCAGCAGGGCGCCTGGATGAAGTGGGAGCAGGCGATGGAGCGGAGCGTCACCTGGAAGGACATCTGGCGGTGGAATCCCCAGAGGATCAAGTTCTTGATCCAGGGGGTTTACGATGTCCTCCCAAGCCCATCCAACCTGTGCACATGGGGCAAAATAGAAACACCTGCCTGCCCCCTGTGTTCCAAAACAGGGACACTGGAACACATCCTGAGCAACTGCTCCAAGGCGCTGGGTGAGGGCCAGTATCGATGGAGGCATGACCAGGTCCTCAAATCCATCGCTGAAGCAATCAGCAAGGGGATAGAGGGAAGCCGATACACCCAAGCCACAGCTAAGGCCATCCGCTTTGTCAGGGAAGGACAAAGGCCGGAGAAAACACCAAGAAACTGCTCTGCTGGTTTGCTCTCCACTGCCCGAGACTGGGTGATGACAGTTGACCTGGAAAGACAACTGAAGATTCCACCACACATCACCCAGTCAAGATTGAGACCCGATATCATCTTGGTCTCAGAGGCAACAAGGCAACTCTTCTTGCTGGAGCTGACGGTCCCCTGGGAGGAGAGGATGGAGGAGGCCCATGAAAGAAAGAGGGAGAAGTACCAGGAGCTGGTGGAGGACTGTCGGAGGAACGGGTGGAAGACCAAGTGTATGCCAGTGGAGGTGGGCAGTCGGGGGTTTGCCAGCCACTCCCTGAGCAAAGCCTACAGCACACTAGGCATAACGGGTGCCAACCGTAGAAGGGCCATAGGCAACAACGTGGAGGCAGCAGAAAAAGCCTCCAGATGGCTCTGGTTGAAAAGGGGAGAGCAGTGGTTGTAGTGGGTGTAGCATGCCACTTGGACACAGGCCGAGGCTTGATCACCTCGGCCGGGTCGCCTGGATGAGGGTGTCTGTTGCAAGACCCGAAACACCCAGTGAGTCCAGGATACAACACTGATGATGTGTCCAAGCTTGTGCATCAGCAGATGTATTGTTAACTGGATTTTACTGTAAATCCACTTCACTGAAATTGCACCAAAACTTACCATGAACAAAACAGCAACATTTAATGTACAATTTGGTTCTCATCGGTCACGTGTATGTCGTGTGACCATGGCAAAGATGCGACGGAATTGGGCACTATTTAATTTGGAATCAAAGCCAATCACTCACATAGGCTCTGTTAATCTGCGACACCCTTTTAAGATTCCTGTTTTGATTAGGATGTTCCCTCCAGCCATCTGTCTGTTCAGAGAGATTTTCTGCTTTTTTTTCCCTTGTCAGAGCCATAATGAGTGTGAGCAATACACATATCAACTGGCAGCCTTTGAAATCTCTGTCGACTGCTTCGACACCGCCATAGAATGCTCAGAGGCGCCTTTTTATTTTTAACACAAGACTCCAGTGAAACATGGAGTGAGACACATTTGTGCCTTATCAGCGAATTGACAAATTGGCCATTGCAGCAATGTGGGACAGATTATTCTGACATAAGCTCAGGCCCGGGAAGCCCGGACGAAATGAACTGTTGTTTTTGCCGCGTTGCGCCGGCTGGATGAAGAGAAGGCGGATGAACTGATGGTTAGAGGGGGTCTCCCTAACCACAGAGCAGTAAGAAAAACACAGGGAAGAAAAACAATCCCTGACATCACCGTCAGGTCTGCTGCACCAAAATTTAGGTCAAGATATATGGCCTGTCGGAAATGTGTCAGCGTTTCATTGCTCAGCCAGTTGGTCACAGTTATAAACACAAACACAAAAGAGAAAAATGTCAACTTCATTCAGCCCCACTAATGTCATTGTTTTGGAAATGCCAGTACCTGCAGTCTATGTGATGTTCTTTGGAGTGTGACCCAGTGTGGTTTCGCACCATTTAATAGGACATCGGCTTGAGCACACTCATCAGCTATGTACACAGCGTGTGCTGCTCTGATCTCCAAAATACATCCTTCAATGTTAAGTCGCTGTAGTCTTAGCTTGTACTTCTCAGTGGGCGTCAAGCAGCACAGATGTATGCTCCCTGGCCTGCCCTAGAAGAGCCTGTGTTGAACCCCTTTTGGAATCTCACGTTCAGTCTGTTGTGAGAGTAAATACACAGGGGGGTGGACCAAAGACTGGGTCGCAAATTGTCAGAGTAAATGATGTCAACCTATTTTATTGATCGTCTCGCAAGCATACATTTTCTCTGCAAATCATTTTTTGTCACATTCAGTAACCATCGTACTTACCGGTACTGAATTTTATTTGATTGCTCTAAAATTATGGCCAAGAAGTCTTTTTACTAGGATTCTAAATGTACAACTGCAAGAATAGATTGGCGTATTCCGACATACATTACCCAATGTATGTATGTACTGTGCGTGTGTGTGTGTGTGTGTGTGTGTGTGTGTGTGTGTGTGTGTG